TTGTAGATCTTGTGTTTGATTTGTAGGTTGTGTATTTTTCCAACTAAAATTCGGATGATTTCTCCATCCTGGATTGTAAGTTTCAGAATATGGATTCAAATAAGGCTTATTATTATAGGTTGAAACAACATTTGATTATTCAATTAAAACTTCTTTGAATGCTGGTATAGTTGGACATTCTCCAGCAGGATGTCCTGACAACGCACAAATTTCACATATTTGGTCAGTAGAGGTAACAACAAATACTTGCTTAATTTTTTTCATTTCCAAAGCCTCTAGTTTTCGAGATAAATTAGCCATTTTTTCTCTTAACTCATCATCTTCTTTTAATACATATTTTCCTCTTTCAGATGTAGATGACTTATTTTCTACAATGTTTGAAGAAGTCGAGTCCCACATTTGGGAACTCTGAAATAGTATCGAAAAATTGAAATGCTTCTTCAGGGTTTTTATTCATAAACTCTCCTTGAGCCATCATTTCAACAAATTGTCGCATGGCAGATGGAAGTGAATCATAAAAGAAACCAACTAAAGTCCAGTTTTCAAATGCATGATGTGGACAAGCTTGGAGAAGATCTTTAAATCTTTCCCAACATTGATAAAAATTTTCTTTTTCTTTTACAGCAAAATTCATTATCTGGCGTCTTAATGCATTAGTACGATGCACAGGAATTTTTTTTAAAAAAACTCAGTTTGTAAAGCTTGCCAATTTGTGATAGAATTTGCTCTTAAAGAGTTAAGCTATAGTTTAGCTTTATCTTTTAAAAGAAAGAAAAAAGTTTTAATTTAATCATTTCAGAATTATCTTGCAAAGTTCCACAGACTTCTTCAAATTCTTTCATATGAACATAGGGGTTTTCAGTTTCTAAACCATGGAACTGTGGTAGTAACTGTATAGTTCCTGGTTTAATATTAATATTTGGAGCGTCTGTTGGAAAAGCAAAACATGATGGGACATTAGTTCTTATAGGATATAGATATTCTCTTAATGGTCGAACATTTTGAACTACTTCCTGTTCTCTTTCTTCTTGTTGTCTAGGTACATTTTGTGCCATACTTAAGTTGAATGATTCTTGTGTAGATGTAGAAGAAGATGATGAAGGAGTGGATTGATTTACAGAACCTACGGATGAATGAACAGACATAGACTAAAAACAAACAAGCAAACTATAAACATATAAAACAAGTATACACCTATCTTTATTATTTTTTTATTTTATTTTATTTATTTATTACTGTCACTCCCCGGCAACGGCGCCAAAAACTTGATTCACACTTTTTAGTGGTCTAAATTATATTATATTGTACACCCAAGTATAAGTGGTCAAATTGTAGTTTTCTCGGTTTTAAGTCCAAGTATTGATCCCACGAAGAGTTTAGTAATTTAGACTATAAAATAAAATAAATAAATAAATTAAAAGTGTTGTTTGAAGCAGAATATTGTTTTATAACTTGTGGTGTGAGCTTAGTTTGATAACTAGTTTATTTAAATAAAAGCAATGCGGAAATAAAGTGCAGAGATAATAAAATGCATAAATAAAACAGATTAATGACAGAAATAATAAAGTGCGTAAGTAAATGCGTTAGCAACAAAAATATAAAAGATACCCTTCAGTTTAAGGGTCCCATATGCATTATATTGGTTAGATACTAGAAATGCTACCTCACAACAATTAACTCCCATGTTATTGGAAAGTCAACCGGCAGGTCTGATGTAAATAAACCATAACAAAACTGCTTCTTAGGCTATGCTGGTGGTAATATATTATAACACAGCTGCTTCTTAAGCTACACCGGTTATATCTATGTCAACTGATTAACCCAAGCAAACCAAAAGGACAAGCCATTCATGAGGAATACTTGAGTTATTTATTTGATCTCATGATTGCAAGTGCATATATATAAACCATAACACAGTTTCTTCTTAGGCTACACTGGTGGTAATATATTATAACACAGCTGCTTCTTAAGTTACACTGGGTATAGATGTGCCAGTTAAACAGCCTCAACGTTCCAGTGGAAGCAAAGTCATATCGATAGAAACATCGTGGTTGTTAGACTGTCATAATAATTATATATAATAATAATAATCAACCCTAATAATCCAGAAGGACAAGCCATTCATGAGGATCATTTAGGTTTGTACCACACATTAGTCAACTTCCTCAGCATTTCGGTGGAAGCAAAGCCATACCGATAGAAACGCCGTGGTTGTTAGACCGGCGGGTCTTATGATATACTGATGATATAACCTTCTTATGATATACTGATGATATAACCTAAGGCACAGCACCAGAATTATACACATCACTATATCACACATTAAGCATATAATACATATATAAATAAACGTATAAATAAAAACACAGCATTTCCATAATCTAAACAGTAATATACATATGTTCCCCTCACATTGGAGGGTATAAACGACTACTCACGCTCCATTGCTACAGACAAGCAAGAAGTGTGGGTAGTATTCATTACAATTAAAATAAAACTTCTTTCACAAGGAACAATTGAAACACAACCACCCTTAATATCATTCAAGACAAAAAAAGTGGCGGCAGTTCAACCATCCGAATAGAAATATATTTCAGAAATGTAGAAATACAAAGTAACAAATGGACCAGCTTTCAAAGGCTTTTTCTTTCTCTCTTTTCTTTCTCTCTTTGATGGCCAGTTAGCTTTCTTGGTAGGAAGGAAATTTTCTCTTGAAATGGTATTGTGAAGGCTTGGAGTACTTGGAGTGGAATGTTTCAAGTCTCTTGAAGAATGAAGGTAAGACCCCTATTTATAGGGGAGGATGAAATTTCGGCCAAGGAGGGGTCCTAACCCCCTTCTCACCTTTTAGGAATGTTGATCCTTGCAGAAGAGCTAGATGTCGTGGTCTTAGGCTTCCACTTGTCGCGTTCTGGAGCTTCCATGTGTCGGGGGATCCTAACCCCTTCCTAAAGGTTAAGCCTTGCAGTAGTGCAAGGTGTCTTCTTCTGGAGCTACCACTTGTTGCCTTTTGATTTGTCCATGATTCTTTATTACACCTTAGTCCTTCATAGTTTCAACTCTTGCAAAATTGCATTGTATTTCCCATTATTTCTGCATTTGACCCTGAAATTTACACATAAAGTATTAAAAACTTTACTTTGCACACAAACTATAATTCATAATGTTTAGCGATTTTATCTTACAAAATTGATCACTTAATTATTTTATTTACACACTAATTAGGGTTAATCATTGTGTATTGTCTTTGATAAATCTATAGGTTCTCAAGCATAATGGGCTAGCATTGCTTATATATGTTACATATTTGCACATACATGATTTTAACATGAAAATGCCTTATACATATCTAGGTGATTTCCATACCTGTGGCTATTTTATGTATTGTTTACATATGATTCTTTTCACAAGGTATTGGTTGAGCTGTAGTGTACAACACTATGATTTCAAAGCTTTCATCGAGAAGATAGGTTTTTTACTTTGTATTGAGATGGACAGACTTGTGCTAGGGTGTTTAGATTAGTTTGAAATTTGTTTTGTTCTTAATGGTTTTGAGTTTTAATCTTTAATTTTTTACTCTTGTATTTTGTCACGAATTTACCAAAGGGGGAGATTTTTAGGATCATGTTTGTAATTGGCTAATTTCGTGAAGTCTTATGTAATCTCAACCTAATTCCATGGTCATCAAGCTTCAAAGACCAAGATTCATATGCGACAAGGAATGGAAGCAAATCAATCTATAATGCCACATTAAGATCACTTTGACGCACCTTTAAGCTTAAGACAAAGGTAATAACCTTAGAGACCTATGAAACCCTTGGTTTAATTCATTAGACTTACAATTATAAGGGAATTCATGGAACCGGAGAAATTCAAAAAAAACTCCTAGGTTTTTCAAATAAAAGTTACTCTAAGCCTTAATTGTGTTTTAAAAACATAGATTGAGTCATTCATCATACTCCACCTAAGCAACACCCTTTAGGGCTTAAGGGAACAACTTTTTTCTTGGTTTTGACTTTAAAACCAGTAGGGACCATCATCTGTTCACTTTCCTTTGGCAAGAGTGGTCAATGAACACTTAGGGATTAAATTAGGAAAGATTGGCGAGTTAGGCAGTAGAGGGTGTCCTGTGGGTCGCTCTTAGGCCGCTTGAACGGTCTTGAGACGACTTGAGTAGTTCTAAGGTTGCTCGAGTGGTCCCTGCTCTTTTTTTACTATTTGAATTCTTCTTTAATTTTAGCAGCCACCATCTTCCCACTACTCAAGTAGTCACTCGCGAATTTTGGTTTACTTGGTCTCCAATACAAACCATGTTTTGAGCCTATAAATAGTGGGAGCCTTCCTAAGCTAGGGTAATCCTTTTAGTGAGCAAAAATTCAGCCTCTCATACCTTAAGAGATCCATGAAAAATCCTAGATCCCAAAATCCAAAGACTATCCATCTTAGGACTCTAATTATGTTGACCTTATGCTTGGTTAAACAAAGTTTTGATGATAACAAAATTTTTGTATTACTAATCATCTTCTTGTGAGTTTGGTTGAAAGTGTTGTATAGGTTTGATACAAGATGAGAAAACTTGGATATTCAATGTGCAACGCTATGTATGAAGAACCAAACAACAAGATGAAATGATTGAAGACGAAAAAATAAAGAAAAGTGAGCATGGCTAAATAGGGTGATTGAATATGAGAAGATGCACCTACATGAAGAGAATTAGTAACATGGATATAGGTGGATTAAAGTAGTTGAAGAGCATGTCATGAAAAACTTGTTCAACAAATTTGTCGATTTAATGTGCATATGAGGACAACTTGAAGAGGTTAAGAACCATTGTTATATGATCATTATTTAAGTTAAGAATGTGATTATGTTAGTTGAGAAGAAGAGTTAAAGGACAATGCAAAGAGATTTTGGAGAGAGAAGTTTCGAGTAATGTAAAAGGGTGTTATGATATTCTTCGATGCTATGGTGAAGAGACTACTATAAGTGAGAATAGTGTGATGGTGTATAACTTGTTGTTGGAATATGGCTTTGGAGGAACCCTAGCTGATATGATCCAGAAATTAGGTGGCTATGGATTGCCTGAATCCGATGTAAGGCGCTACACGAGGTGTATCCTTAGAGGGCTGAATCATATTCATGAGTGTGGTTATGTTCATTGTGATATAAAGCTTGAGAATATTTTGCTTGTGCCCCTTACTAGAGGTGGTACCAGTGAGATGAAGGCAAAGATTAGTGATTTTGGGTTGGTGAAAAGGATGAGTCGGAGTAAGAAGAGGAAGTTGGAGCCTTATTGGAGAGTCACTCCTCTGTATTTGTCTCTTGAAGCAGTGGCTTATAATGTACAAGAGCCTCCATCTGATATTTGGGCTCTTGGATGTACTGTACTTGGGATGTTAATGGGAATCCCCCGTGGTATGAGGAAAAAGATATGAATGTGGAGCATATTCTCGAAAAAATTGGGGATGGGCTTCAATTGCTGAAATTCCATTTGAAATATCCAAAGAGGCGAGGAATTTCTTGAAGGTTTTTTCATGAGAAAAGATATGTATAGATTCACTGCTGAAACGTTATTGAATCACCCATTTGTGGAAGGATTAGTTGAAGATGATGGGATTGAAGAATCAGATGAGGTTTCAGCTGTAAATCAGTTCAGCTCCTTCTTATTGTTGTCTGAGGCTGATGGTGATGATGAAGTCAGCTATTGTTCTTTTTCAAATGACTGCAGCTTCTTATCCGAAGAGGAATACCTTTCTTACTGCTCAAAAGATGCAGAGGGGATGGATAATCAAGAGTTTTGTAGTTTTGCTGAAGAAACATTGCATGCTGAAGAAAGTAGGGGTATTCGGATAACTAGATCACAATTCAGCGGGAATCTAGCAAAGCATATGGTGGAATATTGGATCATATTGTACATTTAGTGATCATTTATATTTAGTTATCATTTACTTTAAAACAACTGTACAGATTAATTCATTCTTTTATAGAACAAAAATTAATGATTGATTGAATTCTTTATATCATGCTTGTTTAAGCTCTATTCATTGTACCTTTCCTAGTAAATATGTATACTGGAACTTATCTTGTCTCTGTTGTCAAGTATGGACTGGCTATTTCGATGATGCTAGATATGTAAGAGTTCCTCTACCAAGGAAGATTGGAGGTTTTCCAATTTCAGGTGGTTGTAATGAAATACCGATGGCAAAGATCTCACAAAGACAATGTATCCCACCTAGCTACTCCAGTTCTGGTCGTTTTTGACCATCTACTTTCACATCACCTGTGATGAAAGCATCAAATCTTATGCATTGATTGCTAATAATGGTGTTATCAGAAGGAGACTGATAATTACGATATGGGCAGCATAACTGGCCAACCAAACTATTTTCCTAAAGCAAACCGCAGAGGGCTGCCTATAGGGAAGCATGTTGCGGCCTACTTTTTTCATGAACTCATGAAAAAGCCTCTTTGCATGTGAGGTTAAGGTTGCGGACATTTGACCCTCCACAGATACCGTAGTGGCGGGAGTCTCATGCACTGTCTTTTTTGTATTTTCAAGTGGATTCTCTGCCTTTGTATTGGTTAGTGATTACATTTAAATTATGTATTTATCCTTTTATTAGCTTCCATATCCTATTTCCATAAGGTAAGACTCTGACTTACCTATGAAGATGTAGAGAAAGGGAAAAGTCATGTGAATCTTATAATATGAACCATGACCAGAGACTTCCTAAAGTTCTTGTAACCCTTCCCCCCCAAAAAGGAAAAAGAAAAATAAATTCAATCCCCAAAAGGAAAAAGCAAGAAAAAGAATGATATTTATATTGCAGTCATTGGCATGAAGAGCGCTAGGGGTGGATTTATTTAAGTAGTGCTTGTATCAACTTTCCATTTATGGATCCAGAAAAAAGGAATCTGTAGGATCCATGTGTCCTTTGATGAACTTATATCTGTTTTACAAAAATGGTAAGAGGATGTGGTAGCTCCACACCCAAGCTTTGTCATGTGGTTGTTTTCTTTACTACCCCCCTTTTCCAGGGTTTGTTTTTCCAAAGAATTTGAGAATTATGCATTGTTTGATGCATTTACATTCACTTATGCATATAAGATGAAGTTTAGCTTAAATGTGTATGTGTGTTTGTAATTGGGGTTCCATATCTAGTTTATTTTTTAGAATGGGAGTAAAAAATAGAATGGAAGTGAATAATACATAAAGTAGGGTCAGAACTATTGGATAGAAATTATGATAGCAATTTTCTTCCTTTTTCATCTTCTTTTGTTCATTGAGGTCAATATATAGATCAAGAGCTCATATAATTCCTCCTATCAGAGAACTTTGGTCCCCAAAGATACTTGTAATAATTATAATTAAGGTCCTAATAATCTGGATCTGTATCTAGATTGCCAAACTATACCATTGGTTGTTGTGTATTGGGAGTATTTGAATCCGTTGTTGCCCATGATCATTGTTCAAGCAATAGTTGGCACAAATATTGCTAACAATGGCTATGCCTAAGGAACTCCTGAAACACCCGTTCAATATTTATTGTGTTGCTAGCTAGATTACACTCTTATTCTGAAGATTTAGAAGAAAGAAGAATAAATTTTTTGATTAATATTAATTCCTTGTGCATTTGATTACTTACACAATGTTCATGCATTGCTTTAGAAAAACAAATGTAGGAAGAGTTAAAATCTTAGGATGCATTAACATAGATGTTCACGATTCAAAAGATGTTATCTGGTTGAGTGCTTTTCTCTCCGATTAGGTTTGGAAACTTATTCTGATAATGCTAAGTGGGTAAAAAGTTTCTTTACCAGGGAAGATTGGAAAGTTTTCCATTTCATGTGTTCGTAGTTACGTATTGGGAGTAAAGATCTAAGAAAGAGAATGTATTTCACTTTGGCTGTTCGCTTCTCGTCCTTTTTGTGGTATATGATTTAGAGTTGCTTCTGGAATCCTTGGTTGGCTCTATTGTTTACGGGGATAAGTGGTGTTGGCCATTTGTTAACTCAGAAAATTCAATACTCCATCACTGGAGTGAAGTGCTCCTACAAGTGGTTGTTTGCAGTAGTTTCTGCCTGAGATGGCTAGGTCTGCATTTTATACAGAGCCACGGCTAAGGGCCACTACCACTTATTTTGTCATTGCCTTACTCGTATGGAATTTTGATTTCTTGCATGAGTTTGATATTTTTATGCAACCATGCCAGATCTTGTGGTTAATAGGGCTACAACTAATGAGGAAAGGAACTCAATGCAGAAAACTGTTGCTTAACTTTCGGCGGGAAAGGAATTCAAGAATTTTCTGTAGAGTATTGGTGGAAATATTTGCAGTGATTGAAGGGAGATTATCTTCGTTGAAGCTTCCCAATTCCCCACCCCTACACTCAAAGGATAGTTTGTTCAAAGTTAGGAATTAACGTGATCTGTTTTAGAAGAGCTCTATCCTGAAGTATTGTTCTGAAGAACATATACACATACACATTTCAATGAACTCCACTGGTGTAGCTACTTGGGTTTGTTAATGTTTCTTAATTGAGACATCAGTACTTAGTCCATTAATACTTGACTAAGATTCTGTTTACTTCTCCCTATTTTCCCCTTGTGAAGCCATGTTTTCGAATCCTTAAAAAGAAAAATTCAGTCCTTAAACATTTACTTCTGCATCATCTCTGATTTAAGCATGGAATCCTTACATATTAAATGTTAATCATGTGCATTATGGGAAGCATATGAATAATGATGATTTAAATAGCATGAAGACTTTAACCATTCAAATAAAGACTCTTCAAAACAAGGTGAATCTTGTGGAAGATAACTATTCTTATGGTTGTGAACTAGTACTTCCAAAATTCTGTAATTCAATGGTTGTTTTTACAAGGATAGGTCATAGGTATTAATGAAAAGGACGAATAAATAGTTGATGTAGCTGCCGCATTGCTTCACTTTACTGGAGTTCTTCATACAAGGCATGAAAATTCATGACCTCAATCAAATATAAAGGCACAAAGTCCATTTGAAAAACTTCAAATTTATTTGATTATGAATGTGCCTTGATTACTCCGGCCTAGGAACTGCAATTGTTGTGCATAAATGACTGAGCTGGACGGATTAAGCAACCTCATGATACATGGTAATGACGCGAAGAAAATTGAAAGCAATCACGACTTGGGAAACAATCCTTCTTAATCCCTATTCGTTACAAACAACAAAGGTAGGGAGTTTATTGGAAATGAAAGTTTATTTATTTGATACTAAATGCAATTGTCTCACTAGATACTTTATAGTGACTACTCAGGTACAAGAACTCAATAATTTCTGTACATGAATAATTGAGATGGAAAAAAAATAAGTTCTTCTATATTGAGGATTGCTCGTATTCATGAGTTCATGAAAAACAGATCTTGGCATGTTCATTGTTGGTTGTTTGTCTTTTGTTGTTTGCTCTAACAGTAAGTTTTGTTGGCCAACTATGCTACCCAAATCCTCATTGTTCAATATTAAGTGTGCTTCCTTTAACTCCCCTTCTAAACATTCCATATGCAAGGATTCTATGCTTCAATGACAAGTGAATGAAGTGATGTAAAAGTTGAAAAAAAAGGGACTGCAATGGGAATAACTTTGGTGAGAAACACACACAAGCATACTAGAACCTTGCTAAAGGTATATTTTGAAGTCTCAGCATAGTCTGAGTTTTATTTGGACAAATCTACTTTTGTGGCAGCTCGTAGTTGGTGGCGACCAAAGCACAGTTATTGCTAGATATTCTCTTATTCAAGCACCAAACTTTTTTTTTCTGAGGTTCCATTTTGGATGACAATCACACTGAAACTAATTTATTACTTGTTGATAAAATGTGATAGAAAATGAAGAAGCAAAGATCATAGAGGAGGGAGAGAGATAGAGATAGAGAGAAAGCATTATTCTTATTGAAATTGCAGAGAACAATTACAACCACTATTTATATACAAAACTAAATTAAATATCTAACAAACTTCTTTAACTAGTCTAACCAATCCAACTAATCTGCCAGCTAGACTGTAGCTAACCACCTCTAACTAACTAACTAACTAATTCTTCTTCCTTCTTCTGTTGTCAACAATTGGGAGTGCCTGTACATGCTGTTCTACTATATTCTTCAATAGTCCCCTCAAGATGGAGAGTGGATATCAAGCACTCCCATCTTGCTTAACAAAAAATAAAACTGATGAACTCCAAGGGGCTTAGTAAGGATGTCACTAAGCTGATGAGCAAAGGTAAAATAAAGAGTCTTGATAATGCCAACTTGAACTTTGTCATGAATAAAGTGGCAATCGAGTTCAATGTGCTTAATACACTCGTGGAAGATTGGATTAGCTGCAATATGTAGAGCAGCTCTATTGTCACAGAAAAGCAAAGCAGGTCGGGATGACAAATCTGAAAGTTAGCAAGCAAATCAGGAAGCCAAGTTAGATCACAAGCAGTCGTGGTCATGGCTCTGTATTCTGCTTCTGTAGAAGATCGAGAAACAGTAACTTGCTTCTTAGAATTCCAAGAGAAAAGAGAATCTTCAAGAAAAATGCAAATTCTAGTGATAGATTTGCGAGAATCAGGACAACCTGCCCAATCTGCATCACAAAACCCTTTAAGATGCAGTGCAGAAGTAGTAGAAAAGAAAAGACCTTGAGCAAGAGAGGTCTTGAGATAATGCAAAATCCGATAGGATGCATCAAGATGAGGTTGCTTAGGCTATTCCATGAACTAACTGAGCACTTGAACATAGTAGGAAATGTTAGGACGAGTGAGTGAGATATATTAATCTTCCTACCATTTGTCTATAGACAAAATAATCTGCTAATGTTGGACTATCATCTCTATGAAGCTTTAGATGTTGTTCCATAGGAAACTTAGCTGGTTTAGAACCAAGAAGACCAGAATC